TGCCTTTTTTTCCTGTAGCCTACAGGTTAATGCTTTATTCAAGAAAGATGTTAATTTTTAACTTGTTAAAAAAATGGTATTAAATTTAGCAAAGAGCACATTATGACTTGTTTAAACTCAAAGTTTAGTAGTCGAGACTTCACTTGAGGCTTCGCCTAGCCTACTTGTGACTTGTAAAACGCTGACTTAGTCCCACCTCCACATGCACTGATGTTTTGACAGCAAGCTTCTACCAGACCAGTGTAAGGTCATTAAAAGTTAACTTTCATGATCTTTTGGGAAGCAATCCCAGCCAAGCAATTCATTTTCAATGAGAAGGAAGTGGGCAGGTAGAGAGGCACAGGACTGAATTTATCAGTCCTGCACCATTCATAACTGTTTCATTGTACATCTGGGCATTTCAGACTTAAACTGAAATAACCTGTGTATGCAGAAGCCCATGTCACATATTAGTAGTCAACCATTTCTGTTGTTTAGGCTGGTGGTAACACTTCTCAGGTGATGATGATTTAAGCATTTAGATTGGTTTGCATGAAATTATAGTGCAAAACGTTTATGGTTTGTGACAAAGCTGCATGACTGTTCAGTCAACAGCAGGGGGTGATAAAAACTGCAACTGATGAACAAATGTGCATTAAAAGGTTTCACATGCAACAAGGCTCGTCTGTGTGACAACTGATTTTACTCCAGCCAGAAAAAATGAGCAAAAATTGCTTTTATTTTTATTTGCGCAGAAAATCAATTTTCTTTCACTCAGCAAGAAGACACAACTGAAGAAATACCCACAACATTCATACTGTATTTAAAAGCATAAAATTATTAGGCAACTTAACCATAATTTAAAGGGATAGTTCATCCAACACTGGCACTTGACTGAACACTTAACAAGACAAACAAAATACTGCACATTTCAAACCTCCAGTATGATAAAATATACTTTGCTTTAAATAAGTCCAACTCAGAAAGGCTAAACAGTGCAGCAGAATCTGGTGGTTTTCAGCAGGTCATTATTTTTCTGCATAGTTAGAATATATTAAAGGAGATTTAGGAAAATTATGCAGAGCCAACTATATCAGTTAGAGGATATAAAGAACATATGCACTTACTAATAAACTGCACTCCTCTGCTGTTAATGGATATACTGAACTGTAATGCTATAGTCCTAATAATCACACAAACTTAAATGTAGATTTGGCTGTGGTGTGTGTGTGGAGTTATGATCAGGCACACTGTTTTTAAACATCTTGATAAAATACTTCCTCAGCTCCTTTCCTTGGCACGTCTCCTTACCTCGGAGTGATTTGTTTAGCTTGATTATCACTTTCACATCGGCAGTCTCACTGTAGCTTCTCTTCCTCCAGTGTAGACGTCAGTTCATGGTGCCTGCCATTTTGTCATCCCAACTGTGCCCTGATCCCTTGCATCAAAGCAGGATGGAGGAGCTAAACAATGAGAGTGGGAAGGCAGTGGGAAGAATAGAACATCTTTGCCTTGAACCAAACATCTTTGATGATTTCTCCTTTGATCTCTGTGTCAGAGCTTGAGAAATTTCTAGTTGTGTGTGCAAACAGTTATATGAGCAGTATTTCAGGCTCTGACACAGCGCAGTAGAGCATGAAGCCCATTTGATCCACCTGGTCCTCTGTCAAGCCGCTCAGCAGATTGACAGCTGGCTTGAAGTAACTGTGTAACGCCCCTTGTTCGAGGTAACCAATCAGCTCTGTGATGCACTGCTGGAATCTCACGTCCAAGCTGATCTCGGACCAGTCGCTCTCACTGTCACTGAGGTGTAGGATGAGATTGGCCAGCGGGGCTGCTTCGAGTGGTCGCGGGGGGTTGTGTCTGCACGCTGCCTTGAGAATTTTAAGTGTCTGTCTGCGGCATCCGTCGTCAGCGGCGTCGAGCTGAGCCAGGCGGCGAGTCTCCCACGGGTAGAGAGTCAGGTGCCAGGCGTTGACCCAGGGAGAGGTGAGCTCAAGCTGGGCGGTCAGAACCACATCCCCTCCCTCAGCAGAGGCAACATTTCGATGAACAGCGGCTGATCGCTGCTCTCCGCCCCTTCTACATTTCCAGGCCTAAAGAATAAAGTAATTTAGAGAGAGCAAAGATATCAAGTCTTAACAAGCACAAAACGCACCAGGCTGATTTCACACTGATCACACAGCATGTTTAAACCTGTATTAAAGAATTTTTAACCACTTAGCGGCCTATTTACACATCCAGCAGATAAGGAGTAACATTAGAAATCACCCGAGTTGTGTTTCTGGCCACCTGATCAATACAACTCCAATACTGACTCTCCGCTTAGCTCTGTTTTGGTGAGCTGAAAGATACCACAAAGCCCCTTAGAGCTGCAGGACTGCAGGGTTGGGTGAAATCTCTCGGTGGGATTGTCAATATGGGCGACGCCTTTCACACAACATAGTCATTTGAGCTATTGTTTATTAAAAAATTTTTTTTTTAAATGGATTAGTGCAGCTTTAGGGAAACAAAAATTTTTTATTAGCCTTTCTACTGTTTTATTTAATTTTAACTTTTAGTCACTTTTACATGCAAGAACGGGAAAGCTGTTTCACATTGGGGATAAGATGTAGCGACAGATAAATGGATAACAGGTATCAAAAATATTGTTCTTTTCAAATGAACAGCAGTTTACAGTTTTATAATTTTTTGGAAAAAATTAAATCGCTGCACCAACAGCTATTAAATAATTGTCTCATCGCTGCCTTCTAAAGTTCAAATTGTAAAATTTATTGTGCAAAAAAATAAATGAATCTGGTGTGCACCCATAAATGTCAAGCACTTCACTTGTTATTGAATCTCAAGATTAAAAACAACAACAACAACAGGCACGCACCGAATCTCCAATCTCAGGTCTTGTCCTCCCAGTACAGGTCTGACGAGACAGTCCAGAGTGCTGCTGATGGACAGCCAGTTGATTGTTTCCATGACAGCTTTACTAAACATGTTCACAACAGTTTCTGCAGACAGGTAGCCACCCACCAAGTACCTGCAAGACACAAAGAAAGACTTGTCTTAGTTAATGGCTTAGTGTTCCCGCAGAATGTTTCTGTGCATACCTATGGCCGTGATGCCACTGATTTCACTGCTGCTTCAATACAAGTACAAGGCTGATGTAAAAAGGCTTGCTAACGCTGCATCACCCTCTACGCTCACATTGCTGAATTATGTTACCTGATGATGTAAAATCAAATCAGTGAACTAATTGAGGCTAAATGGCTCCACGTATCTGATGAATTGGATGAAGTCTGTGGTTTGATCATAGTAGCCTGTTATATATTACACACAATTTGATTCAGTGTCAATATAAAAAAGTATTTAATATAAAAAAGTATTGAATAAAGCTTTTTAAGAATCATGTTTGTGAATGTCTGTAATGTAAATATAAAATACAACTCTAGTTCCGAAAAGGTCTAATTTTAGTTACAGATTAGACTATTGACAGA